CACCCCGAAACCTTATATATTCTTGTATGGGTCAATAAAACAAATCAAATGAAATAAAAGGCGAGTCCCCTGGGGTCACCCCACCCCCTCCTGTTTGAGAACTTGTAAACGGTCGAGATCCCCACCCTTTATCCATATATATTCTTGTATGGGACAATAAAATAAATGAAATGAAATATAGGGAAAGTCCATGGGGGTAAACCCTACCCCCCTTCTTTTTGATAACTTGTAAACGGTCGAGATATGCACCCCTAAACCATATATATTCTTGAATGGGACAATAAAACAAATCAATTGAAATTGAGGGAAAGTCCCCTTGGGTAACCCCCACCCCCCTTCTTTTTGAAAACTTGTAAATGGTCAAGATCCCCACCCCGAAACCATATATATTCTTGTATGGGACAATAAAACAAATCAAATGAAATATAAGGTGAGTCCCCTTGGGTCACCCCACCCCCCTCCTGTTTAAGAACTTGTAAACCGCTGAGCTTTTCATTATAAATAAGATAATACCACATTGAGGTCCAAAGGGTCCTAAATTAAACTTATGTTTAATTTCATCAAATATTGAATTCTTTGGTTCTTTGATATGCTGATTCTAACAATGTTTGAGTGTTAAATCATATCTAATTTTAGAGAACTTAGTCATCACTGGTTGTTGTTATTATATTATTGATTATAATTTGAAAAATTGCATCATATCTTATTTTAGAGAACTATTTATCCAGTTTGAGTTATTTCACAGAAAATATTATGGATAAAATTAACCTGTGTTTCATTTCAACATAAATTAAATATATATATAGGGTTCTTTCAAATGCTGAATCTAAACTCTATTTAAATATTAGATTTTTAGGCCCAGTTTTCAAGTTGGTCCAAATCAGGGTCCAAAATAAAACTTTGTTTGATTCAACAAAAATTTAATTTATGGGGTTCTTTGAAATGCTGAATCTAACCATGTATTGAGAGATTTTGGATTGTGGGCTCCTTTATCAAATTGGTCCACATTGAGGTCCAAAGGGTCCTAGATTAAACTTTTGTCTGATTTCATCAACAATTGAATTCTTGGGGTTCTTTGATATGCTGATTCTAATATGTACTTAGATTTTGGATATTGGACCATTATAGGTATTTAAATGTCCAATTTCAAATATATCAGTTCTTTGACTACATTCTTTTTGTGTCACAAACCTATGATGTGTAAAATATTCAATCACAATCCAAATTCAGATCTGTTTTAAGTTTAAATGTAGTGTCCATACTTGCTCAACTGTTCAGGGTTCGACCTCTGCAGGAAAATCCGGTTTGCTGTCTCTCTGACAGCCTCTTGTATAAAATTTATTCTATATTTGAGAATAACCATGTTAATAATATAAGCAGGAAATTACGGAACTCACTAGAATTTTACTATCGTTTCAAGAAAATCTGGTATAGTAAGAAACAGATAGGGTATTTTTCAGGTTCAAAGCAGTCACTGTAATTACTCATATGCCCGACCCTTCCGGGGGATTCGCTTACCTGGACCATCGTCTAGGGTGCTGCCCTGGATCCCCGACTAGGGTGCTACCCTGGACCAGCTGGAAGACCATGTTTTTGGAATCCTGGATGATGTTATTGAATTTGATTGGCTAAGATAGAATAGAGATGAAGGGATTTTCCACTTTGTATTTTGGAAACGCCAAGAATATTTTGTTACTAGTCCGTCAGGCATATTTAGTTACAAGTTTTGACTGCCCGAGGTGTAAATGCTCTAGTCCCGGGCGTCGGGCTAGTGGATTTCTTAACCCCTGCTACTGGGCAAAATACCTTCAGCTGGAGACTTTGAGCGGTCCATAGCCACACCCTTGCCGAATCTCTATAAAGTCCACAAGTATTCACAAAATAGGAGTTTGAGCGTGAAGGAGTGAAGTGAATTTCATAAGCATGGCATACCTGGAAAAATTCCTGAAAAAAATTTTCTGCATAAAATGGTCCTTAAAAAGATTTTATGAATGCACTTTATTTTAGTCCAGCTACGCCCCTGATTATTGTTATATACATATACACATTCACATGATGGATCTACAATCTGTCGATACCTGTATCTTGGCATTGCACAAGGTCATGTTTTTCTCTGACTGTTTATGACGTCTTTACACTAAATCCATTGGATGATGGTGTGTACAGATTGATAATTTAGTCTTAGATGCATGATTTTTTTTATTAGTTGTTAGTGGCTTCAGTTGAACTAGCTGTCAGTAACTGCGAGTACTCTCAGATCTGTACTTAGTGTCTTTTTGTTGTTTGGATGTACAAGTACCCAGCCATGTCCACTTGTATTTGTAGTATTTGTATTTTTATCCATCTGATGAGTTAAGCCTCTTTCAACTTATAGTTCGTTCTTATGTTGTACTGTTACACCACTGTCCCAGGTTAGGGGGAGGGTTGGGATCCCGCTAACATGTTTAACCCCGCCACATTCTGTATGTATGTGCCTGTCCCAAGTCAGGAGCCTGTAATTCAGTGGTTGTCATTTGTTTATGTGTTACATATTTGTGTTACATATTTTGTTATTCGTTCATTTTTTGTACATAAATTAGGCCTTTAGTTTTCTCGTTTGAATTGTTTTACATTGTCATTTTGGGGCCTTTTATAGCTGACTGTGTGGTATGGGCTTTGCTCATTGTTGAAGGCCGTACGGTGACCTATAGTTGTTAATTTCTGTGTCATTTGGTCTCTTTTGGAGAGTTGTCTCATTGGCAATCATACCACATCTTCTTTTTTATATTCAGAAAATTTTTGATATAATTTTGATGTTCTGACGTAAACTGATAAATTGATAGTCCTCATACGAAATGTTAAAAATTAGTGATCTAAAATCTGCCTTAAACTCTTTATTATTGCAATATCACGCTGTCAGAACTGTACTTTCTTTTTTCAAAAAGCATTTTTCTTATTACCGGATGTTGACTTGTCAATGGTAAAACACGGACCAAAGATGGGACACAAAACTCCATGTACGTTGTCAAAGTTGTCTATTCAGTTTATGTAGTTCTTTCCACATCATTTCTTCTTGAAAATACTTGAAATGAACATTTGGATAAAGGTATCTATGATAATGTTCGCATTTTTGAAGAATTCGGATGCGAAAAATCTTGCACCTGCACACATGCTCAAACCAAGGACGTATAACTATACGTCCTTGGCTCAAACGTATATCAGTTTCAACAACGTGGTTCTGTTGAAATTTCATTTCACTCTTTTTTATTTGATCATTAATTTAGAATTGTATGTTCATATGATTTTCTGAAAAGGCTAAATCATTCTTACAAGTAACAGTTCACATCAATCAATGCATCATACCCCTAGTACCGTACATTGAAAGTCTCGGCTTGAGCAATGTACAATACGCTAAGTACGGAGAAATCGATAATGATAGTACAGGAATTGCAATCAATACATGATACTGGTCCACCCAGAGTGATTTGTTCTATTTTTAAAACATACAAAATCAAAACTGTCGTTGATAAAATGGAGATCTATATGATTATCTGATTAAGTTATTAATTACACAATAAAACTGTCATTGATAAAATGGAGATCTATATGATTATCCGATTAAGTTATTAATTACACAATAAAACTGTCGTTGATAAAATGGAGATCTATATGATTATCCGATTAAGTTATTAATTACACAATAAAACTGTCATAGCAGCTGGGTCATTCTGTGATATCTTTAATCCTTAATTGGCTCTTTGTGTGGATCACTCATGTTGTTTTTACAATATCACAGTTCAAATGAGGCTCTTGAGGGTAATCAAGGTAAACATGCATGTACATTTGCTAGAGGTATAGGGGGAGGGTTGAGATCTCATAAACATGTTTAACCCCGCCGCATTTTTGCGCCTGTCCCAAGTCAGGAGCCTCTAGCCTTTGTTAGTCTTGTATTATTTTTAATTTTAGTTTCTTGTGTACAATTTGGAGTTTAGTATGGCGTTCATTATCACTGAACTAGTATATATATTTGTTTAGGGGCCAGCTGAAGGACGCCTCCGGGTGCGGGAATTTCTCGCTGCATTGAAGACCTGTTGGTGGCCTTCTGCTGTTGTCTGTTCTGTGGTCGGGTTGTTGTCTCTTTGACACATTCCCCATTTCCATTCTCAATTTTACAATTGTCAAAACCATTTGGGATATCGTATTGCAGTTTTTAATATGCATGAAAATTGTATTTATGTTTGCGTGTATTTATTTTAGCGAAAAATATACCTTCCTCAAAATTCGTGAAAAGAAATACACCGCGAGAAAAGTACAGTATAGTAAAGTGTGCATATCTGTCTTTTTACAGGGCTCATCTGTCCTTTACCTTTTTTTGTTGTTGTCATCTTCGTTGTTGTCGTCAGAAGACATTTGGTTTCCAGACAATAACTGGAGAACAAGTGTTTGGATCTCATTGAAATTGTACCACAAGGTTACAAACTACAAAAGGAAGATTGGGATTGATTTTAGGGGTTATGGCCCAAACTGAGTAGAAATTAGCGACCAAAAAGTGGACAAAAATCTATAATTTTCTGGTTTCCGGACAATAACTTGAGTATAAGTCTATGGATCTCTATGAAATTGTACCACAAGGTTCCATATCGAAAAAGGAAGGTTGGGAGTGATTTTGGGGGTAATGACCCTAACCGTTTAGGAAAAAGGGGCCAACAACAATACTTTTCTAATACTTTGTATAAATTGCTTATTTCTTGACCATTTTCAATTGAGTTTAATTAAAAGTTTTGAATTCTTGGGGTTCTTTAATATGCTGAATCTAACCGTGTATTTAGATTTTGGATTTTTGGCCCTGTTTTTGAATTGGTTCACATTGAGGTCCAAAAGGTCCAAAATTAAACTTTGTTTGAATTTGAAAGAAATTAAATTCTTCAAAAGCAGCTGTGACATTTCAGCGTGCACCTCTTGTTCATCTCAAATCTATTATTTTTACATGGTTTAAATTTTATGTTAAACTTTATTTGCAGATTGTTATTGACCTGTGGCAGTTGATATTAACGCCATGAAGACATCGTTTAAAGAAGTTGCTATTGAAGTTTGATGAAGGACAGTTTGTAGTTATTGAGTCAATGACAGTTTTATAACTAGAACCAACAGCTTTCAGTTTGGGTATTTAATCATTGTTAATCATATTGATTATATAATTCTGATTTTTATTAAAGTTGTAAGTGTCTCTTTTAGGACATCAACTACATCAAGTCTTTTTATAAGAATGGTGAAAAAACCTCTGTCTTATTAGCTTTAATGGCATGTACTTAGAACTAAAACATTGAGGAATCATCAAAACCTCTGTCATATAAGCTTCATTGGCATGTGCTTAGAACTAAAAACATTGCAGAATCATGAAATATTTCTGTCTTATAAGCTTTAATGGCATGTACTTAATTAGCGCTTAGAACTAAAACATTGCAGAATCATGAAAAACCTCTGTCTTATTAGCTTTAATGGCATGTACTTAGAACTAAAACATTGCAGAATCATTAAAAACCTCTGTCTTATAAGCTTTAATAGCATGTACTTAAAACTAAAACATTCCACAATCATGAAATATCTCTGTCTTATAAGCTTTAACATGTTAAATGGCATGTGCTTAGAACTAAAATGTTGCAGAATCATTAAAAACCTCTGTCTTATTATATTTAGCTTTATTGGCATGTGCTTAGAACTAAAAACATTGCAAGATCATTAAGAACCTCTGTCTTATTAGCTTTAATGGCATTTGCTTAGAACTAAAAGATTGCACAATCATGAAATATGTCTGTATTGTAAGCATTGATGGCATGTGCTTAGAACTAAAACATTCCACAATCATGAAATATCTCTGTGTTATAACATGTATAAGCATTGATGGCATGTGCTTAGAACTAAAAACATTGCAGAATCATGAAATATCTCTGTGTTATAACATGTATAAGCATTGATGGCATGTGCTTAGAACTAAAACATTCCACAATCATGAAATATCTCTGTGTTATAACATGTATAAGCATTGATGGCATGTGCTTAGAACTAAAACATTGCACAATCATGAAATATCTCTGTGTTATAACATGTATAAGCATTGATGGCATGTGCTTAGAACTAAAACATTGCACAATCATGAAATATCTCTGTGTTATAACATGTATAAGCATTGATGGCATGTGCTAAGAACTAAAACATTGCACAATCATGAAATATCTCTGTGTTATAACATGTATAAGCATTGATGGCATGTGCCAAGAACTAAAGACATTGCACAATCATGAAATATCTCTGTGTTATAACATGTATAAGCATTGATGGCATGTGCTGAGAACTAAGACATTGCACAATCATGAAATATCTCTGTGTTATAACATGTATAAGCATTGATGGCATGTGCCAAGAACTAAAAACATTGCACAATCATGAAATATCTCTGTGTTATAACATGTATAAGCATTGATGGCATGTGCTTAGAACTAAAACATTGCACAATCATGAAATATCTCTGTGTTATAACATGTATAAGCATTGATGGCATGTGCTTAGAACTAAAACATTCCACAATCATGAAATATCTCTGTGTTATAACATGTATAAGCATTGATGACATGTGCTTAGAACTAAAACATTCCACAATCATGAAATATCTCTGTGTTATAACATGTATAAGCATTGATGGCATGTGCTTAGAACTAAAAACATTCCACAATCATGAAATATCTCTGTGTTATAAAATGTATAAGCATTGATGGCATGTGCTTAGAACTAAAAACATTGCACTATCATGAAATATCTCTGTGTTATAACATGTATAAGCATTGATGGCATGTGCTTAGAACTAAAACATTCCACAATCATGAAATATCTCTGTGTTATAACATGTATAAGCATTGATGGCATGTGCTTAGAACTAAAACATTCCACAATCATGAAATATCTCTGTGTTATAACATGTATAAGCATTGATGGCATGTGCTTAGAACTAAAAACATTGCACAATCATGAAATATCTCTGTGTTATAACATGTATAAGCATTGATGGCATGTGCTTAGAACTAAAACATTCCACAATCATGAAATATCTCTGTGTTATAACATGTATAAGCATTGATGGCATGTGCTTAGAACTAAAACATTCCACAATCATGAAATATCTCTGTGTTATAACATGTATAAGCATTGATGGCATGTGCTTAGAACTAAAACATTCCACAATCATGAAATATCTCTGTGTTATAACATGTATAAGCATTGATGGCATGTGCTTAGAACTAAAAACATTCCACAATCATGAAATATCTCTGTGTTATAACATGTATAAGCATTGATGGCATGTGCTTAGAACTAAAACATTCCACAATCATGAAATATCTCTGTGTTATAACATGTATAAGCATTGATGGCATGTGCCAAGAACTAAAAACATTGCACAATCATGAAATATCTCTGTGTTATAACATGTATAACATATATAAGCATTGATGGCATGTGCTTAGAACTAAAAACATTGCACAATCATGAAATATCTCTGTGTTATAACATGTATAAGCATTGATGGCATGTGCCAAGAACTAAAACATTCCACAATCATGAAATATCTCTGTGTTATAACATGTATAAGCATTGATGGCATGTGCCAAGAACTAAAAACATTGCACAATCATGAAATATCTCTGTGTTATAACATGTATAAGCATTGATGGCATGTGCTTAGAACTAAAAACATTGCACAATCATGAAATATCTCTGTGTTATAACATGTATAAGCTTGGATGGCATGTGCCAAGAACTAAAACATTCCACAATCATGAAATATCTCTGTGTTATAACATGTATAAGCATTGATGGCATGTGCTTAGAACTAAAAACATTGCAGAATCATGAAATATCTCTGTGTTATAACATGTATAAGCATTGATGGCATGTGCTTAGAACTAAAACATTCCACAATCATGAAATATCTCTGTGTTATAACATGTATAAGCATTGATGGCATGTGCTTAGAACTAAAACATTGCACAATCATGAAATATCTCTGTGTTATAACATGTATAAGCATTGATGGCATGTGCTTAGAACTAAAACATTGCACAATCATGAAATATCTCTGTGTTATAACATGTATAAGCATTGATGGCATGTGCTAAGAACTAAAACATTGCACAATCATGAAATATCTCTGTGTTATAACATGTATAAGCATTGATGGCATGTGCCAAGAACTAAAGACATTGCACAATCATGAAATATCTCTGTGTTATAACATGTATAAGCATTGATGGCATGTGCTGAGAACTAAGACATTGCACAATCATGAAATATCTCTGTGTTATAACATGTATAAGCATTGATGGCATGTGCCAAGAACTAAAAACATTGCACAATCATGAAATATCTCTGTGTTATAACATGTATAAGCATTGATGGCATGTGCTTAGAACTAAAACATTGCACAATCATGAAATATCTCTGTGTTATAACATGTATAAGCATTGATGGCATGTGCTTAGAACTAAAACATTCCACAATCATGAAATATCTCTGTGTTATAACATGTATAAGCATTGATGACATGTGCTTAGAACTAAAACATTCCACAATCATGAAATATCTCTGTGTTATAACATGTATAAGCATTGATGGCATGTGCTTAGAACTAAAAACATTCCACAATCATGAAATATCTCTGTGTTATAAAATGTATAAGCATTGATGGCATGTGCTTAGAACTAAAAACATTGCACTATCATGAAATATCTCTGTGTTATAACATGTATAAGCATTGATGGCATGTGCTTAGAACTAAAACATTCCACAATCATGAAATATCTCTGTGTTATAACATGTATAAGCATTGATGGCATGTGCTTAGAACTAAAACATTCCACAATCATGAAATATCTCTGTGTTATAACATGTATAAGCATTGATGGCATGTGCTTAGAACTAAAAACATTGCACAATCATGAAATATCTCTGTGTTATAACATGTATAAGCATTGATGGCATGTGCTTAGAACTAAAACATTCCACAATCATGAAATATCTCTGTGTTATAACATGTATAAGCATTGATGGCATGTGCTTAGAACTAAAACATTCCACAATCATGAAATATCTCTGTGTTATAACATGTATAAGCATTGATGGCATGTGCTTAGAACTAAAACATTCCACAATCATGAAATATCTCTGTGTTATAACATGTATTATAAGCATTGATGGCATGTGCTTAGAACTAAAAACATTCCACAATCATGAAATATCTCTGTGTTATAACATGTATAAGCATTGATGGCATGTGCTTAGAACTAAAACATTCCACAATCATGAAATATCTCTGTGTTATAACATGTATAAGCATTGATGGCATGTGCCAAGAACTAAAAACATTGCACAATCATGAAATATCTCTGTGTTATAACATGTATAACATATATAAGCATTGATGGCATGTGCTTAGAACTAAAAACATTGCACAATCATGAAATATCTCTGTGTTATAACATGTATAAGCATTGATGGCATGTGCCAAGAACTAAAACATTCCACAATCATGAAATATCTCTGTGTTATAACATGTATAAGCATTGATGGCATGTGCCAAGAACTAAAAACATTGCACAATCATGAAATATCTCTGTGTTATAACATGTATAAGCATTGATGGCATGTGCTTAGAACTAAAAACATTGCACAATCATGAAATATCTCTGTGTTATAACATGTATAAGCTTGGATGGCATGTGCCAAGAACTAAAACATTCCACAATCATGAAATATCTCTGTGTTATAACATGTATAAGCATTGATGGCATGTGCCAAGAACTAAAAACATTACAGAATCAGCTGTGTTACTCGAATAACATAAAACTATGACAGAATAAGAGTACTTGTTATTTCTGGTGGTCTAACTTGTAAAAGGGGAGATAATCAAATTAACTTTCTTCAGTATACTGTCTATATGTCCATGTGTAACAGCTGGACAGATATTGTGTCTGGTGGTCTTACATGTTAAAGGGGAGATAATCAAATCAACTTTCTTCAATATACTGTCTATATGTCCATGTGCCTTGTCGGTGTAACAGCTGGACAGATATTGTGTCTGGTGGTCTTACATGTTTAAGGGGAGATAATCAAATCAACTTTCTTCAGTATACTGTCTATATGTCCATGTGCCTTGTCAGTGTAACAGCTGGACAAATATTGTGTCTGGTGGTCTAACTTGTAAAAGGGGAGATAATTATTTCTTTTCTTTTTACAGGATATAATGGCAGATTGGGATGAGGTAAGATTTTCTTTCTAAAGTTCAATTGTCATGTGACCTATTTTTGTCCTTAAACTGTAGAGAAAGGAACATGTGTGTAGTTCATAGTATTCATAGAGCGAAAATAGAAGAAAATCAAAATGACAAGAGTTATAAGAATTTCAATGGACAAAATTTAAAGGAGCAAACCTGATACATTATACAATCATCCAAAGTTTTTTTCTTCTCTCAAAAAACTCTGAAATTACAAACAGCAATTTCACTGTCTTGGTCAGTTGTTGTTACTGCATTTGAAAAGCAAACTGTAAAAGTGAACATCATAAGCAGAATAACTAAAAGTAGTTTGTTAATTTGAATTATTACATTTATCATTCATTATTATGTGCAGGAGAGAAATGCTTAAACTTTGTTTTACTTACAGAAACTTTGGACAGCTGCTGAGGAGGGAAATATTAAAGATGTGGATTTATCTTTACAGAATGGAGCTAATTTGGAATACAAAAGTGGTATTGTAAGTGAAGTAGAAATATTTGAAACACATAAAGGTATTTACTTACAGTACACACAAGGTGAATCAGATAAAAATCGCCCTTGTTGTTGCTGAGTGATTCATTGTTAAACACAGTAAATATTGGTTATTACTGGTATTTCTGTATTTTACATAAGAAGTAAGAAACATTGTTACACAATAACAATACACTGAACTCTTTACACAAAATACCAAGTAGGCAATCAAAACACATAAGTAGAAGATGAATAACATGGTGGAAAGACAAATACTAAAAAGATAAAACAACAGTTTCTAAGCTCTTCACAAAAAATGAGATTTGTGTAAACTAAATATTTTGAACAGTGTGCCTTTTTTTGTGACATGTGTATTGAAGCATATTTTTTTATCCCTCGAAATAATTAAAAATACAAGTACAGATACAAACATTCACAAACAAAATCAATAAACTAATATTAACAAAGGTCAGTCACTATAAATTATTGAATCACTTGCGTAACTAAACTTAGTCCGGAAATATCACTGATGAGGAGTGCTGTCAAGTCTCATGCAATGTGCTCAAGATCCCTAAATATCACTGATGAGGAGTACTGTCAAGTCTCATGTAATGTGCTCAAGATCCCTAAATATCACTGATGAGGAGTGCTGTCAAGTCTCATGTAATGTGCTCAAGATCCCTAAATATCACTGATTAGGAGTGCTGTCAAGTCTCATGTATTGTGCTCAAAAGACTCGCACATTGTAATGCTTATTTGGCGGCATTTTCCTTTGATCTACTGTTTTTATGCTCCCTCCGTAGCAGAGCGGGCATTAAGTTTTACCCTTGTCGGTCTGTACGTCCATCGTCTGTACATCCCGAAGTTGGTTTCCATTCTCTAACTTTAGTTTGCCTTTACCAAATGTAATGAAACTTATACACATTGCTTATTACCACAACATACAGATCAAGTTTGAATTTTGGTGGTGTCACTTTAACCGTTCTAGAGTTATGTCCCTTTACAAATGGAAAAATTGCTGAATTTTTCGTTTCCATTCTCTATCTTAAGTTTGCCTCAACCAAATGTTAAGTACAAATTTGGGTAGCGTCACTTTTACAGTTCCTCAGTTATGTCCCTTTAAAACTTTATATGATATGCAAGCGGGGGCATCATCTGTGTCCCATGGACACATTCCCTATTTATTTCTCTTTGATCTTTAAAATTTTTCCAAATCTCGTGCATTTGCTTCATGAAAACTTGACAGCCTTGGATGAGGGTTGTCTGCTTTGTATTCTATAATTGTAACTCTGTCATAATTGTGTTAAACCCTTTAAATATTGCAATTAATGACTTTTGGTTCTAACCATTCATCTGATCCCGGCTCTGGACTTTTTAATTTGTTTCATTTTTAATATGAGGTGAAATATGCAAAAATTCTGATTGGGCAATCAACAAAGGTGTTAATTACTGGTCATCTGAAACATGTCCTTTTAAATGTTATACGAAAAAGTATGTTTACACATCTTTAACCACTAATAAGACCACGTCTGTACTGAACATGACATGCGACACCTGATCAAACAACATCCATTTACAATTCCTGTTCTGAACATGACATGTGACACTTGATCATATAATATTCATTTACCACTCCTGTACTGAACATAATATGTGACACCTGCTCATATAACATGCATTTACCTCAACTGTACTGAACACTCCAGACTGAACATGACATGTGACACAAGATCATACAACATGCATTTACCACTCCTGTACTGAACATGACGTGTGACACATGATCATACAACATGCATTTACCACGCCTGTACTGAATATGACTTGACACCAAATCATATAACATAAATTTACAACTCCTGTACTGAACATGACATGTGACACATGATCATACAACATGCTTTACCATTCCTGTACTGAACATGACATGTGACATCTGATCATACAACATCCAGTTACCACTCCTGTACTGAACATGACATGTGATACCTGATCATACAACATTCATTTACCACTCCTGTACTGAACATGACGTAACACCAAATCATATAACATTCATTTACCACTCCTGTACTGAACATGACATGTGATACCTGATCATACAACATTCATTTACAACTCCTGTACTTAACATGACATGTGATACCTGATCATACAACATGCATTTACCATTTCTGTACTGAACATGACATGTGATACCTGATGATACAACATGCATTTACAACTTCTGTATTGAACATGTCGTGATACCTGATCATACAACATGCATTTACAACTCCTGTATTGAACATGACATGTGATACCTGATCATACAACATTCATTTACCACTCCTGTACTGAACATGACATGTGACACATAATTAAACAACATACATTTACCACTCCTGTACTGAACATGACATGTGACAGCGAATCATACAACATGAATTTAAAACTATACTGAACATGACATGTGACACATGATTATACAACATTCATTTACCACTCTTGTACTGAACGTGACATGTGACATATGATCATACAACATTCATTTACCACTCCTGTACTGAACATGACATGTGACACCTGTTCATACAACTTTCATTTACTACTCCTGTACTGAACATGACACATGACAACTGATCATACAACATACGTTTACCATTCCTGTACTGAACATGACATATAACACCTGTTCATAAAACTTTTATTTACTACTCCTGTACTGAACATGACATGTGACACCTGAATACAACATGCATTTACAACTCCTGTACTGAACATGACATGTGACACCTGATGTTACAACGCTCATTACACACTCTTGTACTGAACATGACATGTGACATCTGATTTTACAACATTCATTTACCACTCCTGTAGTGAACATGACGTGTAACACCTGATCATACAACATTCATTTACCACTCCTGTACTGAACATGACATGTGACACCTGATCATACAACAATACATAAACCACTCCTGTACTGAACATGACATGAGACACCTGATCTTACAACATGCATTTACCACTCCTGTACTGAACATGACTTGACATCTGATCATACAACATGTATTTACCACACATGTACTGAACATGACATGTGACACCTGATCATACAACATTCATTTGCCACTCTTGTACTGAACATGACATATAACATCTGATCATACAACATGCATTTACCACACCTGTACTGAACATGACTTGAAACCTGATCATACAACATTCTATTGCCACTCCTGTACTGAACATGACGTGTGACACATGATCATACAACATGCATTTACCACACCTGTACTGAACATGACTTGAAACCTGATCATACAACATTCTATTGCCACTCCTGTACTGAACATGACGTGTGACACATGATCATACAACATGCATTTACCACACCTGTACTGAACATGACTTGAAACCTGATCATACAACATTCTATTGCCACTCCTGTACTGAACATGACATGTGACACATGATCATACAATATGCATTTACCACGCCTGTACTGAATATGACTTGACATTAAATCATATAACATAAATTTACAACTCCTGTACTGAACATGACATGTGACACATGATCATACAACATGCTTTACCATTCCTGTACTGAACATGACATGTGACATCTGATCATACAACATCCAGTTACCACTCCTGTACTGAACATGACATGTGATACCTGATCATACAAGATTCATTTACCACTCCTGTACTGAACATGACGTAACACCAAATCATATAACATTCATTTACCACTCCTGTACTGAACATGACATGTGATACCTGATCATACAACATTCATTTACAACTCCTGTACTTAACATGACATGTGATACCTGATCATACAACATGCATTTACCATTTCTGTACTGAACATGACATGCGATACCTGATGATACAACATGCATTTACAACTTCTGTATTGAACATGTCGTGATACCTGATCATACAACATGCATTTACAACTCCTGTATTGAACATGACATGTGATACCTGATCATACAACATTCATTTACCACTCCTGTACTGAACATGACATGTGACACATGATTAAACAACATACATTTACCACTCCTGTACTGAACATGACATATGACAGCAAATCATACAACATGAATTTAAAACTATACTGAACATGACATGTGACACATGATTATACAACATTCATTTACCACTCTTGTACTGAACGTGACATGTGACATCTGATCATACAACATTCATTTACCACTCCTGTACTGAACATGACATGTGACACCTGTTCATACAACTTTCATTTACTACTCCTGTACTGAACATGACACATGACAACTGATCATACAACATACGTTTACCATTCCTGTACTGAACATGACATATAACACCTGTTCATAAAACTTTTATTTACTACTCCTGTACTGAACATGACATGTGACACCTGAATACAACATGCATTTACAACTCCTGTACTGAACATGACATGTGACACCTGATGTTACAACGCTCATTACACACTCTTGTACTGAACATGACATGTGATATCTGATTTTACAACATTCATTTACCACTCCTGTAGTGAACATGACGTGTAACACCTGATCATACAACATTCATTTACCACTCCTGTACTGAACATGACATGTGACACCTGATCATACAACAATACATAAACCACTCCTGTACAGAACATGACATGAGACACCTGATCTTACAACATGCATTTACCACTCCTGTACTGAACATGACTTGACATCTGATCATACAACATGTATTTACCACACATGTACTGAACATGACATGTGACACCTGATCATACAACATTCATTTGCCACTCTTGTACTGAACATGACATATAACATCTGATCATACAACATGCATTTACCACTCCTGTACTGAACATGACTTGTGCCACCTGATCATACAACATTCATTTGACAGAGCAATGACACTCTTATACTCAACACCAACATGTCACATAACAATGACACTCTTAAACTCAGCACAAACAGGTGTCATAGCCGTTACTCTCTTAAACTCAACACAAATATGTGACATAGCCATGGATTGCATATGCTTATACTCAACACAAACATGTGACAGAGCATTGACACAATTATACTCAACACCAACATGTGACATAACAATAATACTCTGATAGTCAACATTAACATGTGACATAGCAATGACATTCTTACACCAACATGTGACATTGCAAAAACATTCTTATACTCAACACTAACCTGACATAGCAATGACATTGTTATACTCAATTCCAACATGTGACATAGCAATGACAAACTTATACTCAACACCAACACCTGACATAGCCATGCCATATTTATCCTCAGCACCAACATCTGACATAGGACTGACACTGTTTTACTCAACACCATCATTTGACCTAGCCATGAATTTCTTTTCCTTAACACCAACATGTGACATAGCAATGACACTCTTATACTCAACACCATCATGTGACTTAGCCATACCACTCTTGTACTCAACACCAACATGTGACATAGCAATAACACTTTTTTACTCAACACTATCATGTAACCTAGCCATACCAATCTTATACTCAATACTAATATGTGACATAGGCATACCACTCTTATACTCAACACCAACATGTGACATAGCAATGACACTCTTATACTCAACACCATCATGTGACATAGCAATGACACTTTTTTTTCAACACTATCATGTGACTTAGCCATACCACTCTTTTACTCAATACTAATATGTGACATAGCCATACCACTCTTATACTCAACACAAACATGTGACATAGCAATGACATAATTATACTCAACACCAACATGTGACATAGCAATGACACTCTTATACTCAACACCATCATGTAACCTAGCCATACCACTCTTATACTCAACACCAACATGTGACATAGCATTGACACTCTTATACTCAGCATCAACATATGACATAGCAATGCCATAATTATACTCAACACCAACATGTGACATAGCAATGACACTCTTATACTCAACACCATCATGTAACCTAGCCATACCACTCTTATACTCAACACCAACATGTGACATAGCAATGATACTCTTATGCTCAGCATCAACATGTGACAGCAATGACACTCTTATACTCAACACCATCATGTAACTTAGCCATACCACTCTTATACTCAACACCAACATATTGTCATTGAGTATAAGTATGTCATTGCTATGTCATTGCTATGTCACATGTTGGTGTTGAGTATAAGAGTGGTATGGCTATGTCACATATTAGTATTGAGTATAAGTATATCATGTAACTTAGCCATACCACTCTTTTACTCAACACCAACATGGGACCTAGCAATGACACTCTGATACTCAACTCTATCATGTAACCTAGCCATACCACTCTTATACTCAACACCAACATTTGACATAGCAATGACACTCTGATACTCAACTCTATCACGTAACCTAGCCATACCACTCTTATACTCAACACCATCAATTGACATAGCAATGACACACTTATACTCAACACCAACATCAATGACACAATCATACTCAACACCAAAATGTGACATAGCAATGACACTCTGATACTCAACTCTATCATGTAACCTAGCCATACCACTCTTATACTCAACACCAACATGTGACATAGCAATGACACTCTGATACTCAACTCTATCATGTAACCTAGCCATACCACTCTTATACTCAACACCAACATGTGACATAGCAATGACACTCTGATACTCAACTCTATCATGTAACCTAGCCATACCACTCTTATACTCAACACCAACATGTGACATAGCAATGACACTCTGATACTCAACACTATCATGTAACCTAGCCATACCACTCTTATACTCAACATCAACATGTGACATAGCAATGACACTCTTACATTCCTCACAAACATGTGACATATCACATTTAAAGGCAAGGCAAACAAAAAAATACAAACGTGGTTTATTGCAGTTCTTCACTTATACTCACCACAAACATATGCCATTGATATATTACCATAATATGCAACAACACATATATTATGAAGCAACTGTTCTGCACTACACAAACATTTTACATGGAAATACCATTGAATACTTTTTAAGCTTTGATCATTATTCTGAATCAACACAAAATACTGTTAACCAGGCAGGTGTCATGGACAACAAATACTTGTTAGAATTATATAAAGTGGGGTCTCATTTTTCCTGTCTCATTAATCTGAATAAGAAAATATAACTCGTTTTTATTTTTCTTGAAATTATTTTTTTTTAACTTTGATCATTCATCATTGTTAATCAAACAGATTTAATAAAAGCAAGAAATACTTGACAGAATTATATAAAGGGGGGTCTTATTTTTCCTGTCTCTTGGTATTGAATTAGAAAATATTACTCGTTTTAATGTTCCTTGAAAAAAATTTGAAATTTTTTTTTTTTTCAACTTTGATCATTCTACGTAATCATTGTTAATCAGGCAGGTTTAATGGACAGCAAATATTTGTTAGATTTATATAAAGTGGGATCTCATTTTATTTGTCTTGTCCAGCTGAGTCCATTGATATAAATATTGTTTATGTTTCTAGAAAAAAGTTTTTTTTTAACCTGACAGTTCTGATGGAAGTTCTGACATCTCACAATAAAACGTTGTTTATTTGTTGTTTATGTAGAATATAAATAAAAGTGTGACTGGTCATTTTATTCAGTTTTGACCCTTGAATCATGTGATATATATTTTGTTTATATTTATTACACAACATTGTCCAGTTTATGACACAAGTTTTGATGTCTGTTATATGTTGATATTACAGGGTGGAATGACACCATTAATGTTTGCTGCCAGGGTAGGACACCTGGAGGTGGTCAGGTACCTAGTCACTCAGGGCAGTCAGTTAGAGAACACAAACAAGGTAATGATAGATATAATGACCTTACTCTGACTAAACACCATTTTATACAGAATCTACACAAAATCATGTTGTTAATCAGACAGATTTAATGGACAACAAATATTTGTTAGAATTATATAAAGTGGGGTCTCATTTTATTCGTAACACAGAACTGAATCAGTTAGTAAAGGTTTTATTTTGTTTCTTGACGAAAAATTATTTTGTTAACATTTGATTTTAATGAGAAGTTAAAGAGAATGAGTTGTGTTAACATCTTTAGTCAGATAATATTAATTCTACAGATTAAATGTAAAACATCTTTTAAAAATAACAAATATTTGACAGAATTATATAAAGTGGGGTCTTATTTTTCTTGTCTCTTCGTACTGAATCAGAAAATATAACTCGTTTTTATGTTTCTTGAAATTTTTTTTTTTTTTTAGCTTTGATCATTCTACGTTATCATTGTTAATCAGACAGATTTAATGGACAACAAATATTTGATAGAATTATATAAAGTGGGGTCTCATTTTATTAGTCTTGTCCAGCTGAGTCCATTGATATAAATATTGTTTATGTTTCTAGAAAAAAGTTGTTTTTTTTTAACCTGACAGTTCTGATGGAAGTTCTGACATCTGACAATAAAACATGTTGTTTATTTGTTGTTTATGTAGAATATAAATACAAGTATGACTGGTCATTTTATTCAGTTTTGACCACTGATTCATGTGATATATATTTTGTTTATATTTGTTACACAACATTGTCCAGTTTATGACACAAGTTTTGATGTCTGTTATATGTTGATATTACAGTGGGGAATGACACCATTAATGTTGGCTGCTGACGGAGGACACCTGGAGGTGGTCAGGTACCTGGTCAGTCACGGCAGTCAGTTACAAGCTACAGACAGGGTAATGATAGATATAATGACCTTACTCTGACTAAACACCATTTTATACGGAATCTACACAAAATCATGTTGTTAATCAGAGAGGTTTAATGGACAACAAATATTTGTTAGAATTATATAAAGTGGGGTCTCATTTTATTCGTAACACAGAACTGAATCAGATAGTAAAGGTTTTATTTTGTTTCTTGACGAAAAATTATTTTGTAAACATCTGATTTTAATGAGAAGTTAAAGAGAATGAGTTGTGTTAACATCTTTAGTCAGATAATATTAATTCTACAGATCTAATGTGAAACATCTTTTAAAAATAACAAATACTTGACAGAATTATATAAAGTGGGGTCTCATTTTTCTTGTCTCTTCTTACTGAATCAGAAAATATTACTTGTTTTAATGTTTCTTGAAATTTTTTTTTTTTTTTAACTTTGATCATTCTACGTTATCATTGTTAATCAGACAGGTTTAATGGACAGCAAATATTTGTTAGATTTATATAAAGTGGGATCTCATTTTATTTGTCTTGTCCAGCTGAGTCCATTGATATAAATATTGTTTATGTTTCTAGAAAAAAGTTTTTTTTTTTTAACCTGACAGTTCTGATGGAAGTTCTGACATCTGACAATAAAACATGTTGTTTATTTGTTGTTTATGTAGAATATAAATACAAGTATGACTGGTCATTTTATTCAGTTTTGACCCTTGAATCATGTGATATATATTTTGTTTATATTTATTACACAACATTGTCCAGTTTATGACAGAAGTTTTGATGTCTGTTATATGTTGATATTACAGGGTGGAATGACACCATTAATATTGGCTGCCAGGGGAGGACACCTGGAGGTGGTCAGGTACCTAGTCACTCAGGGCAGTCAGTTACAAGCTACATCCAGGGTAATGATAGATATAATCTTCTTACTCTGACTAAACACCATTTTATACGGAATCTACACAAAATCATGTTGTTAATCAGACAGATTTAATGGACAACAAATATTTGTTAGAATTATATAAAGTGGGGTCTCATTTTATTCGTAACACAGAACTGAATCAGATAGTAAAGGTTTTATTTTGTTTCTTGACGAAAAATTATTTTGTAAAAATTTGATTTTAATAAGAAGTTAAAGAGAATGAGTTGTGTTAACATCTTTAGTCAGATAATATTAATTCTACAAATTAAATGTAAAAAATAACAAATATTTGACAGAATTATATAAAGTGGGGTCTCATTTTTCTTGTCTCTTCGTACTGAATCAGAAAATGTTACTCGTTTTAATGTTTCTTGAAAAAAAAATTTTTTTTTGTTCAACTTTGATCATTCTACAGAATCAACATAAAATCATGTTGTTAATCATACATGTTAAATGGACAACACATACTTGTTAGACTTATATAACGTGAGGGTTGCTATTATTTGACTTGTTACACTTGTATAAGAGTTTACTATTTTTTTACCTGTTTTGTTTCACTGAATCAGAAAATATACATTGAATTCATATATCTTAATCTACCATTTAATAGTTTATACACAAATATAATTGGATATTTTCTTACCCGATGTTATATTTCTTACATTTGGTAAATTGTTTGACTTCTCTCATGATTTTGTTATCACACACCAGTAACATGTTTATATTTTTATATTGTTATAGAGAGGATACACAGCTTTACATTGGGCTGCTCTGTATGGACGGATTGATACAACACAATGGTTAATAGATCAAGGATGCAGTCCTTGGGTGAAAACAAAATTGGTAACATTCAGTTTTATTCTTATTAGATAGATAGATAGTTTATTCTCTAAAAACTAAATACAAGTCAACAGAGAAAGTAGAATTACAATATAAATACAAATACAATAGTTGAGGGTAAACAGATGCAGATAATATATAATAAAGTACAACTTTATGATGAAATACCTGTATGATAAACAGGTTAAACTAAATATGAAGTAATCAGTCTGTGCTCAACGTTTACATGGAGGGACTAACCTTTTTATTAATACACTTAATGAATGAACACAGTTTTCTTAAAACTGATTGTTTTTTTATTAGGGGACAGCCTAGGCTACTATACTTATATGTCAATAAATGGATACAGTGCTGTAGATTATGCATTAATAAGTTATAGTCTCCTGTCCTCAGTGAAATACTTTAAAACTGATGATTTTACTTACTTGTCAGATCATGTACAGATTCAGTTAACTTTAAATTGTAATATAAAACAAATTTTTGACCTTAAAAGTCATATAGAAAAAAAAATGGAAAGATTTGAAAACATATAAATGGACTGAAAATTCACAAAACTTGCTACTTAAAGCTCTTACATCAGAGCATATTACAAACGATATATTAAATTTTGAATTCATTGAGTATGAGGGAAATCAGAAGGGGTTGATGGTGCAACTGAAAATTTAACTAATATTTTTGAAAATATCTCTGAGATTACTTGTAAAATATCAAAAAGATTTAAAGTAAGTGAAAAAAATATAGACAGGTATTATCAGACAATTGTGTCTATGAGACAAACAAAAAGAAATAAACTTGGTTGGAAATAAACTTAAAAAATTTCCAAATAATCAACTTAAACAGAAATATTTTGAATTGTTAAAAAGTTTTTAAAAAATGGTAAAATTTAAAAAAGCACAATACAGAGAGAAGATATTTAACTCGGTGACAGATAGTTTTGATAAGAAACCTAAAGATTATTGGGAAATACTTAAAGGAATGAAAAACAAAAACAATGTTGGTAATGAAGTACCGGAAATTTTAAAAGACGAAGAAAAAAATACCAAGCATATTCAGGACCAAGGAAAACCCACATTTGTAAATAATAGAAAGAGGAAATAGAAAAACAGCTTGTTAATATTTAAAAGAACATTACATCTAATAGAGAAACAGATGCTCCAATAAAATACTCAGATATAAAAAAAGTTATTAGTAAGCTTAAAAAAGAAAAAGCAGTCATGCACTACCGACCTACCTCCCACCAATCATATACTACCAACCTACCTTCCACCAATCATACACTACCAACAAACCTTCCACCTATCATACACTACCAACCAACATACCTTCCCCCAATCATCTACAACCAACATACCTTCCACCAATCATACACTACCAACACACCTCTCACCAATCATTCACTACGAACATACCTTACACCAGACATTCCACCAATCATACACTACCAACATACCTTCCACCAATCATACACTACCCACATACCTTTCACCAAATCTTTTATATATTCAGGATCTATTTTATGGAATAACTTACCAATATCCCTGAAAAAATCAACCTCAAGTACAAACTCATTCAAAAAAGATTTAAAAAATTACTTGTTGGAACATTAAGAAGCTGTGTAATTTTATATGTATAATAATTTTCACACACTTACTCAAACTTAAGATATTGTTGAGGTAATTTGAATGATGCCAATACTATATGAATTTGTAATTTTTACCTGTTTTGAAAATTGTATTTTTCATAACAATTTTTTATTTCATTTTTCATATATGTGTGTGTTTGTTTGATATTTCGTAATTGTTTGTTATATTTCATTGTATTTCATGAGGGCCTCAGGGAAGATTAGTTTTATAGCTAACTGTGTAACCCTCTTTAAATAAAGAATTATTATTATTATTATTATTATTAATCATACACTACCAATCTACCTTCAACCAATCAAACACTACCAACATACCTTCTACCAATCATACACTACCAACATACCTTCAAGCAATCATACACTACCAACATACCTTCAAGCAATCATACACTTCCAACATACCTTCCACCAATCATACACTACCAACATACCTTCAACCAATCAAACACTACCAACATACCTTCTACCAATCATACACTACCAACATACTTTCCACCAATCATGCACTACCAACATTTCACCAATCATACACTTCCAACATACCTTCCACCAATCATACACTGCCAACATACCTTCTACCACTCATAATCTTCCAAAAGACTTTCCACCAATCGGCATGGATTTTTCTAGCATTTCACAGGGTCCGGTATTCGGACCCATTCCCAACGGCAAAAACCCTACATTTTTCCCAATTTTGGGAGCAAAATTCCCAAATGATCACAAAATTCTGTTTCATCTTTATTAATCATGACAGAAATGTTTATTTTATTCAACCGCTTTATGCCAAAAATCGCCAACAAGTACTGTGTAAATCCAAGTTGAAACATAATTTGACAAAACAACATTTAAAAACAATGGCTGCCATGATTAAACAGGAAGTGTGGGAAAATACTCAAACCAGATCAATTCCGGAAACGGATACGGCTATAGTTCCGGGTTTGTCGATCAAATACAGTAAATAAAAATTAAAAGAACCAAGCATGTGACAGCTATCATAGCAACACTAAAATTGAAAACTAAAAGATATATAACAAAGAAAATAGAAACAGGATATATTTTATACAGAACTCAAAATATTTGAGTTCACAAATTTTCATGTCAAAATCAAAAAAATGTAACAATCCTTTAAGAACTATTTTTTTTTTATACTCAGATAAATTTTAATGCCTTGTTGTTATATTTAAAAACCAAGAAGGTGTAGTCCTTTGTTTTCATCAACAAAAAAAAAATTGAATGAACTATACACACTATAAAACTAACATCTGGTATGTTGGTTGTTTTTCCCAAAACTGCGTTAAAAAATTCCCAAAACTGGCCAGGGTCCTTTTTCCCAAAATACCCAGATAAACCCCTGAATCATATACTGCCTACATACCTTCCACCAAGCATACACTACCAACCTACTTTCTTTGAATCATATGCTGCCAACATACCTTCAACCAATTATACACTACCAACCTACCATTTACCAATCAAACACTACTAACATACATTCCACCAATCATACACTGCAAACATACCTTCTACCAATCATTATCTGCCAACAGACTTTCCACCAATCATACAATACCAACATACTTTCCACCAATCATACACTACTAACATACCGTCCACCAACAATACCAACTTACCTTCCACCAATTAAACACTATTAACAGACCTTCCACCAATATTACACTACCAACGTACCTTCCACAAACATACACTACCAAAAAACCTACCACCAATCAAACACTACCAACATGCCTTTCACCAATCAAACACTGCTAACAAACCTTCAACCAATCAAACATTACCAACATACCTTCCACCAATCATGTACTACTACCATACCTTCCACCAAATTTACAAACATCCCTTCCACCAATCATATACTATTAACACACCTTCAACCAATTATACACTACCAACATACCTTCCACCGATCATACACCACCAACATACCTTCCACCAATCAAACACTTGTAAACGGTCGAGATCCCGACCCTTAAACCTTATAATTCTTGAATGGGACAATAAAACAAATCAAATGAAATTGAAGGGAAGTCCCCATGGGTAATCCCCACCCCTCTTCTTTTTGAAAACTTGTAAACCGTCAGTATCCCCACCCCGAAACCATATATATTCTTGTATGGGACAATAAAATAATTCAAATGAAATATAAGGCGAGTCCCCGGGGGTCACCCCCACCCCCCTCCTGTGTGAGAACTTTTAAACGGTAGAGATCCCCTCCCCTAAACCTTGTATGGGACAAAAAAACAAACATGAAATAAAGGGTAAGTCCCCTTGGGATCAACCCCCCCCTTTTGAGAACTTGTAAACGGTCGAGATCTCCACCCCTAAACCATATGTATTCCTGTTCGTAATTTCAAGAAGATTTGAATGACATACCAGGCCTCTACAATAACTTTTTTTCAACTTGCCCAATAGGACAAGTACATACCAAAACTTACTTGTCCGAATGGAATTGTAACTTGTCAAAAAAAAATAACCTTTATATTAATCTTTTTTGCATTTTAATCGAAATTGAATGTTTTATACCAAAGATCACAAAAATGCGATCATTTGACGAAACTTTGACAAACGAACTGCAAATTGTGATCGTTTTAGAAATATTGAAATTAAAAAGCGAAATGTCTGGGGGAAAACAATTTTGTTCAAATGAGGAAACTACGACAAACGTATTTTTAAAATAAAAATGAAGAAATTATTGACCATAAAATTTATAAAATCATATTTGATCATATTTAGACAAAACAATATTTGATTGTGTTTGAATAAACATTTTAATATATTCAAAACAAAGCTGATTGTAGTAAGGCATTAATCATAATTATCAATATTTTATCAACTTAAAAGACCAGGATACAAACCAAATGAGTGTAGACTGACAGGCCTACCAGACTGTGCCTGATGTGCAGAGTCTGATGAAAACTAGAACCTTAGTCTTGTGACTAGACATGACTAGATTCAGTTGTTCTCGACTCCCATTTTTTAAAAGGATATCAAGAGATGTAAATCAAATTCTTTTCTATTGTTTTAATTCATTTTGTTCATTGAATCAACCTAAAATGCAAAAAAGGTTAATATAAAGGTTATTTTTTTTGGACAAGTAAGTTTTGGTATGTACTTGTCCTATTGGGCAAGTTGAAAAAAAAAGTTATTGTAGAGGCCTGTGTATAAGTCAAGTCTGCAAATTATTCAAGAAAATTGCCTGTTCTCTAGGTCTCAAACACTAAAACATCTAAACTGCCATTTTCCTAACTTGAAATAAATTATAAAAAAGGACTTTTAACTGCAGTTATAATATATAGTATAAAATAACAGTATGTTTAAAACTGGTATTCAATTGACTTAAAGCATTAGGGTAATGAATCAAAATTCTAAATTTTAAACAGACAGCAGAATAGATTGTATAAATGACTTTTCAATTTGATGATGATTTGCTCTTCTGTTCACATTTATAAATAGAGAAAGGAGGTTTATATGAAATAGAATTCTTGCAATTATCATTTATGGATATCAAATGTAATTATGACTTTCGGAATTTTGATTAAGCTAAAAAGGGATATATGAAAAAATAAGTTGAAATTTTTTCTACATATTAATGTAATGAAGAACTAGAATTTAAAATAAAAGACAAAAGGGATTCCAGAACAAAGTTTAATTTTTTGTTGTAAAGTTTTTGGTCCACTGAATCCATTTAATTATCATAAAAACAAAATCAAAAACATTATGTACTTTAAGTACCAACATACCTAACACCAATCAAACACTACTGACACAACTTCCATCTTATCATACTCCACCAACACACCCTAAACCAATCATACACTACTGACACAACTACCATATTATTATACTCCACCAACACACCCTACACCAATCCTACACTACTGACACAACTACCGTCTTATCATACTCCATCAACACACCTAACACCAATCCTACACTACTGACACAACTACCATCTTATCATACTCCATCAACACACCTAACATCAATCCTACACTACTGACAACTACCATCTTATCATACTCCACCAACACACCCTAAACCAATCATACACTACTGACACAACTACCATCTTATCATACTCCACCAACACACCTAACACTGATCCTACACTACTGACACAACTACCATCTCATCATAAATCACCAACACACCTAACACCAATCCTACACTACTGACACAACTACCATCTTATCATACTCCATCAACACACCTGACACCAATCCTACACTACTGACACAACTACCATCTCATCATACTCCACCAACACACCTAACAACCATCCTACACTACTGACATAACTACCATCTCATCATACTCCAGCAACACACCTAACACCAATCCTACACTACTGACATAACAACCATCTCATCATACTCCATCAACACACCTAACACCAATCCTACACTACTGACACAGCTACCATCTTATCATACTCCACCAACACACCTAACACTAATCCTACACTACTGACACAACTACCATCTTATCATACTCCACCAACACACCTAACACCAATTCTACACTACTGACATAACTACCATCTCATCGTACTCCAGCAACACACCTAACACCAATCCTACACTACTGACATAACAACCATCTCATCATACTCCACCAACACACCTAACACCAATCAAACACTACTGACACAACTACCATCTCATCATACTCCACCAACACACCTAACACCAATCAAACACTACTGACACAACTACCATCTCATCGTACTCCACCAACACACATAACACCAATCAAACACTACTGACACAACTACCATCTCATCATACTCCACCAACACACCTAACACCAATCCTACACTACTGACACAACTACCATCTTATCATACTCCACCAACACGCCTAACACCAATCCTACACTACTGACACAACTACCATCTTATAATGCTCCACCAACACACCCTACACCAATCCTACAACTAACACAACTATCATCTCATCATACTCCACCAACACACCTAACACCAATCTTACACTACTGACACAACTACCATCTTATAATGCTCCACCAACACACCTAACACTAATCCTACACTACTGACACAACTACCATCTCATCATACTCCACCAACACACCTAACACCAATCCTACACTACTGACACAACTACCATCTCATCATACTCTACCAACACATATAACACCAATCCTACACTACTTTAATAAAATAAAACATTTCCCACCACAATTATCTCCCTTAAATTTGAACTTCCTGTTGACAATTTGATACTATAGCTGTTTCTATCAATCAATCATTAAATGCTATTTCAAATCCAAGCCATCCTCTTATAGTGTTGATCAAAAACATTATACAATTAATTTTTATAGAAGATTGGATAGCAAACTAGATATTTTTATATCTATTTACGAGATTTAGCATTTTGTCTTTTTCATTAAAAGATTTGGTAAATATCATCAAATATAGGCCTGTAATGACTCCTTGGGCAACTAGAATGCATCTATGAAGCAGTGCAGATTCAATAGTTTGGACTAAAACACTAAACAATAATTAAATACTCGTAGAAGCCTTAAAAGAGCGATAAAAACACGTGTTTAGAGAAGGGGGTATATGTAAAAATCGTGACTTCGCATCGAAAATTTATTTGTCCGTCCGGGTTTTGGTTATAAAAATAAACTTAGTTGTTAACGGAAATGTTCTCTTTAATTCAATCGCTTTGAATAAACAATCAGGTTTCCATTTGGGAACAATTTTTGTTAATATCGCAGGGGATGGGTAGAAATGGGATTCACTGCAAAATATTTTACAGCCGCCAGCTGGGCTATCGGGATGATAAAATATATTTGCCCAGCTGATAATGGGGTAGCCTTTGGCGACTGGGCAACTGTTAAGTTAATCCCTGTTAGTAACATCAATAATAACCTACCAGCACATCAACTATCTAATCATGCTCTAATTACACATCTAACACTAATAATACACTGCCAGCACATCACTTACTATCTGATCATACTCCAATTACACATCTAACACTAATAATACACTGCCAGCACATCACTTACTATCTAATCATACTCCAATTACACGTCTAAGACTAATAATACACTGCCAGCACATCACTTACTATCTAATCATACTCTAATTACACATCTAACACTAATAATACACTGCCAGCACATCACTTACTATCTGATCATACTCCAATTACACATCTAACACTAATAATACACTGCCAGCACATCACTTACTATCTAATCATACTCCAATTACACGTCTAACTAATAATACACTGCCAGCACATCACTTACTATCTGATCATACTCCAATTACACATCTAACACTAGTAATACACTGCCAGCACATCACTTACTATCTGATCATACTCCAATTACACATCTAACACCAATAATTCAGTGCCAGCACATCACTTACTATCTGATCATACTCCAATTACACGTCTAACACTAATAATACACTGCCAGCACATCACTTACTATCTAATCATACTCCAATTACACATCTAACACCAATAACACTGCCTGTACTTCAACCATCTAATCATTCTCTAATTACACATCAAACACCAATAATACACTACTGGTAGTGTATGATTGGTGTGAGGTGTATTGGTGGAATGTAATAAGATGGTAGTTTTGTTAATAGTGTATGATAAGTGTACTGTGAGTTGCTGGAGTTTGATAAGATGGTATTTTTGCTAATAGTGTATGATTGGTGGAAAGTATATTGGTGGAATATAATTAGATGGTAGTTTTGTTAATAGTGAAGGGTTTGTGTAAGGTGTATTGGTGGAATGTGATTAGATGGTAGTTGTGATGGTAGTGTATGATTGGTGTAAGGTGTGCTGGTGGAATGTGATTAGATGGTAGTAGGATGTGTTGCTGGAGCATGATTAGATGGTAGTTTTGTTAATAGTGTATGATTGTTGTAGGGTGTGTTGGTGGAATGTGATTAGATGGTAATTGTGATGATAGTGTATGGTTGGTGTAAGGTGTATTGGTGGAATGTGATAAGATGGTAGTTGTGATGGTAGTGTATGATTGGTGTAAGGTGTGTTGGTGGAATGTGATTAGATGGTAGTTTTTGTCGAGCCTGCGACTTTTGTCACAGAAAGCTCGACATAGGGATAGTGATCCGGCTGCGGCGGCGGCTACGGCGGCGGTGGAGTTAGCTAACTTCTTAAAAGCTTTATATTTTAGAAGGTGGAAGACCTGGATGCTTCATACTTTGTATATGGATGCCTCATGTAACGAAGTTTCCGTCAGTCACATGTCCAATGTCCTTGACCTCATTTTCATGGTTCAGTGACTACTTGAAAAAAAAGTTTTTTGTAATGTTAAATTCTCTCTTATTATAAGTAATAGGATAACTATATTTGGTATGTGCGTACCTTGCAAGGTCCTCATGCCTGTCAGACAGTTTTCACTTGACCTCGACCTCATTTCATGGATCAGTGAACAAGGTTAAGTTTTGGTGGTCAAGTCCATATCTCAGATACTATAAGCAATAGGCCGAGTATATTCGGTGTATGGAAGGACTGTAAGGTGTACATGTCCAACTGGCAGGTATCATCTGACCTTGACCTCATTTTCATGGTTCAGTGGTTATAGTTAAGTTTTTATACGACCGCAAAAAAATTTTGTGGTCGTATATTGGTATGACGTTGGCGTCGTCGGCGTCGTCGTCCGAAGACACATTGGTTTTCGCACTCTAACTTTAGTTTAAGTGAATGGATCTTTTTGAAATTTTACCATAAGGTTAAATACTACAAAAGGAAGGTTGGGATTGATTTTGGGGGTTATGGTACCAACAGTTAAGGAATTAGGGTTCCAAAAAGGGGCCAAAAATAAGCATTTTCTAGTTTCCAGACAATAACTGTGGAACGGTGTATGGATCTCTCTGAAATTATACTACAAGTTTCCATACCACAAAGGGATGGTTAGGATTTGCTTTGGGGGGTTATGGCTCAAACCGTTTAGGAATTAGGGGCAAAAAAGGGGGAAAAACAAGGTTGTCCTGGTTAATGGACAAATACTTTAGTACAAAACATAATTTAAAGCAGTGTAAGGGAGATAAATCAAATACATCATTGAAATTATCTCCCTTACACTGCTTTTAAATTATGTATAAAGTAATGGTTAATGAACAATAAAGATAATTTAAAACAGTGTAAGGGAGGTAATCCAAATACAGCGTTTTGGTTACTTCCCTTACACTGCTTTTAAATTATGTTTAAAGAAATGCATATTTATAAAGGAAGACCAGTAAAAATATCTGCAAATGTTGCATCATTTTTTTTTACAAAAAAATCCATATGAAAGATTTGACACTATATTTTTAATTCTATTATAAAATAGATTAAGTTAGCACTATGGTAAATTTAAATGGGTAATTATGGTTGCCAACGCCATTGGAAATTTGAATTGAGATTATGACCATATCTTGAGGGAAAGAATTTTTTGGGGGAAAAAAGGGGGGGGGATAAAAAGAAATTGTGGGGGGTCAATCTTTTCTCATTTCAGATTTCAGAAATTAAAAAGAATTATTCTTCAAATATTATTTTTTTTTCAAATTTCAAATATTGAAAAATTTCAAGAAGTAATCTTTAATTGCACAGTATGGCACATTAGATTTGTAAAATCTTTGATCACATTTATTTATTTGATATGCCGAATCTTACAGTGTATTTAGATTTTTAATTTTGGGTCCAGTTTTCAAAATAGTCTACATTAAGGTCCAAAGGGTCCAAAATTAAACTTTGTTTGATTTTAGCAAAAATTGAATATATGAGGTTCTTTGATATGCTGAATCTAAACATGTATTTAGATTTTTGATTTTTGGCCCAGTTTTCAAGTTGGTCCAAATTTGGGTCCAAAATTAAACTTTGTTTGATTTCAACAAAAATTGAATATTTGGGGTTCTTTGATATGCTGAATCTAACCATGTATTTAGATTTTTTATTTGTGGACCCTGTTATCAAATTGGTTCATATTGATGTCAAAAGGGTCCAAAATTAAACTTTTTTTTGTTTGATTTCATCAAAAATTGAATTATTGGGGTTCTTTGATATGCCAAATCTAACCGTGTTTTTAGATGTTTAATTTGGGTCCCGTTTTTTAAATTGGTCTTCATTGAGGTCCAAAGGGTCCAAAATTAAACTTAGTTTGATTTTAACAAAAATTGAATTCTTGGGGTTCTTTGATATGCTGAATCTAAACATGTGTTTAGATTTTTGATTATGGGCCCAGTTTTCAAGTTGGTCCAAGATAGGGTCCAGTATTTAAACTTTGTTTGATTTCAACAAAAATTGAATTCTTGGGGTTCTTTGATATGCTGAATCTAAACATGTGTTTAGATTTTTGATTATGGGCCCAGTTTTCAAGTTTGTCCAAGTTGGGGTCCAAAATTAAACTTTTTTTGATTTCAACAAAAATTGAATATTTGGGGTTCTTTGATATGCTGAATCTAACCATGTATTTAGATTTTTTATTTGTGGACCCTGTTATCAAATTGGTTCATATTGATGTCAAAAGGGTCCAAAATTAAACTTTGTTTGATTTCATCTAAAATTGAATTATTGGGGCTCTTTGATATTCCAAATCTAACCGTGTATTTAGATTTTTTATTTTGGGTCCTGTTCTTTAAATTGGTCTTCATTAAGGTCCAAAGGGTCCAAAATTAAACTTAGTTTGATTTTAACAAAAATTGAATTCTTGGGGTTCTTTGATATGCTGAATCTAAACATGTGTTTAGATTTTTGATTATGGGCCCAGTTTTCAAGTTGGTCCAAGATAGGGTCCAGTATTTAAACTTTGTTTGATTTCAACAAAAATTGAATATATGGGGTTCTTTGATATGCTGAATCTAAACATGTATTTAGATTTTTGATTATGGGCCCAGTTTTCAAGTTGGTCTAAATTGGGGTCCAAAATTAAACTTTGTTTGATTTCAACAAAAATTGAATATATGAGGTTCTTTGATATGCTGAATCTAACCATGTATTTAGATTTTTTATTTGTAGGCCCCGCTATCAAATTGGTTCATATTGAGGTCAAAAGGGTCCAAAATTAAACTTTGTTTGATTTCATCAAAAATTGAATTATTGGGGTTCTTTGATATGCCAAATCTAACCGTGTTTTTAGATGTTTAATTTGGGTCCCG